GGACTAACCAAATAATAAAATGAAGAATCTTGGATTTCAGCTCGAAATTCATTCATTCAATATGGTTAACTAACATTTAGTTTTATCAGTTTGTGATGAAAAACCCTAACCTTACTTTGTAGTCTTAATCAAATCGTGGATGTGCACTGCTGATGAGTCCCATAATAGGACGAAACAGCCGTCCAGTGCTTCCAGGTTTTCCATGGTGGTCTAGCTTCAATTGACTAATGATTTCAACTATGAAAATACTAAATTCTCCAAAAAACCCCTTCTGATCTTTAATCTAAACTCTCAATCTTAAGCCTTAACATAAATTGTTTCACCCTAGTGATTAAAGTTTCTCAAGGTCATTTTAACGTCACTCAAAGGTCGTTCATAAATTCCAGTCTCTCCATGTTTTTTTTTTACACCAATCAACAGTTAAATAAATGATGAAATTTATCTTTTAATTAGATTAAACCAATCAAAATGAGGATGATGAAATTTTAACGAATCTATCGTACGATCAATTCAATTGTTTGTTTGAATCGTCACATTGTTATTTAGGACTGCTACTGGTCAGTCCCTTATTGGCATATATGCATAGTGTGTATTGCCTCGATATTGCCTTAATTTACAAGCATTATAAGCAAAGATGGATAGTGGCTTGCGGTGGAATCCAGTTTGACGCGCGTTTCGTCCTATTTGTGACTCACCAGCTTGATGTGCCTGCATCTCAGAGTTGATGTCAGGATTACACTTGGTTTAGAAAATTTTCTTTAGATCAATTTATGCTGTATACATTAATTTTTTAATTATAGGTTGACTTCAAATCTCATTGATGTTGTTGTTCTTTTAAGTTGGGTGTTTTGCATTGATTATACCGTGCATAATATATATATAGTCTTAGTTTATTTTTCATCATTATTATTACAATTACTGCTATTGTAGTGAACAGAACAGACGAGTGGGGATAAACGAACGTATTTAAGCACACATTACAGACTATCTCACCAAAATCTGATAACCACACAGTAGTAAACAGTTAATTTGCAAAAAAACAATCAATTGTCTCAATCTCGACTGTTCCTTCTGCAAATATCAGTCCGTTTTCTTTGATTTCATTGTTCATGCATTTTCATACCAACCGCGCTTCGTTTCTGTTCTTTCCTTATCGATCTTCTGACAAAATACATTCTATGCCAGACCATCACCGTATACTACTAATGTGGATATAAGTAACCCACACCACACTATTTAGTAATTAATTAATCCAGTTAACGACTTATAGACATAATAGTGTATCCATTTCAGTAAATATTTTAATAATATCAAATCTTTTCGACCTTGTTGTTCACTGTGTTTATTTATTTTCACTTGTGTAAACATGTAATCAGAGGTTCTGTTAGCCACTGTCCATCTTTGCTTACAGAGGTTCTTGTTGTTTGGTTGGGATTTTTTTATTACATCATAATCTGTAGTTCTTCAACTTTATTTGTTATACCAAATGAAATTTGTTTGTTCAATGAGTTTCGAACTAGTTTAGTTAGTTTGTTTTTCCTATACAATTGCATACAATTGTAACACCGTTGGATGCCAGGTCAGTGGTCTATCGGTTAAGTGCTCTGGTGCGAGACTGGTAGGTCCTGGGTTCGAATCTCGAGAGGCGGGATAGTGGGTGCTTCCAGTGCTTCAGTGCTTCCAGATTTTCGATGGTGGTCCAGCTTCAATTGACTCATGATCTCAACTATATAAAATTACTAAAATCTCCACAAAACCCCCTTCTGCTAATTACATTGATATTAAATAACCTAGATACTCTATAATCAAAATTGTATATTTGCATAGGATTTACGATTGCTCTACTTCAAAATACAAATATTGATTATATTTAGACTTTATAATGTGGTTATGAAAGATAAATTGAGTGTTACGTGGTGATGGTCAACAGTATATTACAAAACTGGGAATGCAATAGTTTTACATCGTTACTGAGTAATGCAGAGAATTGTACTATTAAAAGATCAGAAAATGTTCCTTAATTAAAAACCAAAGTATTTAGTTTCATCAGAGTAAGTGGATAGGATCATTGAATCGGTTAATCAAGATTCTTTTGCCTTAGATTAGATGTGTATCAGTGAACAGGGATGGTAGGATAGCTACAATTGGACTATATAGTATGTTTGTTGTAGTAAATTAGCAAAACAATTCTTAAGGACTCCATCCACAATGTCACTCTCGTGCTTTAGATTAATATGTACTTTCTTCTCTACATTAATCATATTTTAATTCACCCTGATTTGGTTAACCCTTCTTTTGATAATTCGTAGAAAATGACTAATAAATTAACTCTGGTAGATTAAAGTTCTTCTTCTGTAGTGTCGTTTATAAAGATTTCGGGGTCAATTGAAGTGATGTTATGGAATAAATGTATTTTTGAGTTTATAAGAACACAGATATATGTAGACTGTTCATCCGCTCAGTTCATGTAGATTTTCTATCGATAACTCTCTTAGTTTTATCATTCTTACTTGTGAATATAAAATCCAGAAATAACATCTCAGATGCTGATTTCATTTTATTCAGTTAAATGTATGCATATCTCACTTAAGAACACTTTTAAATACGTGAAGAAACAACTCCCAATATGACTCAGTAAAAGAGAAACGACAAGTTACTGTAGGGTTTTTGTTTTGTGAGAATCTAAATATGCCCTCTTTACAGTTTTATTTTACTTCTGATTAGGGTGTTTTCATAAATAATTTTGCGATTATGACTTTGTTGCTATCACCTAATTTTATAGTTTCTCTACGACAGTTAATCATCAGAATTGAGATTATCTTTTATTTCGCAGAATAATCTCAATCAAACGGTTAAAGGCTCTGATACCTTAAAGAAATCACTTAACAGTAAACCACAGTCAATAATTTTTCCTTTTGGATAAAGTTTTTAATGTTGACCTTAACATCCCTCCTACTCCTGTTTCTGGAGATTAATTAGTGTAATTTTCACTTGACACTTCATTTCAATAATCTGAATGCATATGAATATGTCTCGTCTGAACACACTACCGTAGCGAAATCGAACTCGTCAGTAGAAAACCAAAAAAATGAACAAATAAGGTGATATTTAGAGTTTAGTAAGAAATCCTCACTGAAAATGATGTTCGTATATGTGATATGCATTCTGTGAGTGAATGGGAAAATGTTAGATGTTGCATACATATTAAAGGATGAGAAGTGGATGTGATACAAACTCGTCGAGACATATTCCATCCCTCTTTGCTTCGATCAAATAGTTTACAGAACAACTGAAAATATTTTATATCTGAATTGATGCGTTGGACTTATTTTAATTGCTGTAATATTCATGTTGTTTCACACTAATAAGGGCGCAAACAAAAGGGTGACTATCAAAAAAGTATATAATAATAAAACTCAGCATCGAAAGGGAAAATAACAGTTTTAATTATGTAAAATATGTTATGGAAGATTTTCCTAAGACGAATAGTTTGATGGAGGGATGGGATGGAAGATTCAGCCAACTTCGTATTGTCGCTCATCCATGTATATCGACATTTATCGATGCTCCGTTAAAAGAACAGTATGTAAATGAATGAAAAATCGAATAGTTTGTTTCAGAAATCCAGCAACAGAACACAAAATGATTTTATAATGAGGTGGTAGTACGTATCATTTTGGTCTTAGAAGAGCGTAAAAATATATCGACAGTAGAATATCTACCTGACATAACACATTAAGCTTTGATTTTTGAACAATAGGCATATTTTTAACATTTGAAACTTATTCGAAGTGAAATTCATCAAATATTTATTAAGAATTGTCGGGCACATCCCCTTTGGTAGAATATCCTTTAACTGTTCTAATTAGACATACAAAATAACATGACCACAGTAATAAAAGTAGAGATATGTTACCGGATTCAAAGAATCATAGTATTCTTTTAAAGTAAAAGTTAGACACTAACACTGTTGGATGCCGGCCAGCTCAGTGGTCTAATGGTTAAGCGCTCGCGCGCGGAACTGATAGGTCATGGGTTCGAATATCGTGGATGCACACTGTTTAAGAGTCCCACAGTAGGTCGAAACGATCGTCCAGTGCTTTCAGGTTTTCCATGGTGGTTTAGCTTCAATTGACTCATAATTTCAACTATATATGATTCTTCATTAGACATTTGGGAACAAATGTTCTTTTACTTGTCGTAGAGCTTAAATAATTGCTTGGAATACTTCTTTTAAACCATACTGTTAAACGATATATTATTCGAATTTTACTTATGAAAATATATTCCTACGAATTTCGACTTTGTTCATTGATAACAGGTAAAGGATGAAATTACCATAAAAAGAGGTTCTAAACTGGAAATCTTTTTTTAAAAAAACCCACTTCGTCAACTTTATTCATAAAAGTATTAAAACTTTTTTATCTCTTTAGTTCGAGACTGATAGGTCCTGGGTTTGAATCTCATGAGGCGGGATCATGGATGCACACTGCCACTGAGGAGTCCTACAAGAGGATGAAATGACCATCCAGTGCTTCCAGATTTTCCATGGTGGTCTAGCTTCAATTGACTCATGATTTCAACTATATAAAATCCCTTTAATTGTCAAAAGTCAGGTTAAAATAACAATATCATAAAGCAGAAAAAAAAATTATCATTGCTGATGAAATTCTTACCACGTGACCATAAACGAAAATTTACTTGTCAAGTTCCGAACAATGTTGTTTACCATTATGTATATCCATGTATATATATATATATATATATATATATATATATATATATATATATATATATATATATATGGAAGTTGAAAGTTCAATTAATTTTATTATAATCTGATTGGTTAATTTTTCAATAACCACACCCACCACTTTTTTTTTGTAATGTATATATATATTGAAAAAGATAAAGTTTTAGTCTTAGAAACCTTTCGAAAAACCTTTTGTTAAACATTACATACGTTACTAATTTATTTGAAACTAAATCATATTAACACAATGAGATATAAATATTCATTATTTATTAATCAAGAATTTTCAATCTTATCAACAGTTCATTGGTTATTTTCATCTTTGATATTACTTTTAATGTTAACGATACAAACAAAAGGATATGGTAAGTTGTTACGAAATGTATGATTTTTTTTATATATCGTTGAAATCATGAGTTCATTGAAGCTAGACAGACCACCATGAAAAACCTGGAAGCATTGAATGGCCAACTCGTCCTATTGTAGGACTCCTCAGTGGCAGTGCGCATTCACGACCCTGCCTCACGAGATTCGAATTCAGGACCTACCAGTGACCAGTAACCACGTCTGTTGTGAGATAACAACTCACTGAAGACAATTGGTGACAATTGGTAGCTCAAACTTCGTTCATAAATTCTCTCTTGTTACTCTTAACTTATATATATATATATATATATATATATATATATATATATATATATGACATGGTATATAATATTTTTAACTGTATTTAAACTGTTTAGACTCAGGTCACGTGAGTTTTTGTCCTTTTTGTTTATAAATTACTATATCATAAAGTCAGATATCATAATAAGTACATTTCAAGATCCAATTTAATCGAATTAACTACGAGAGACTTAGCACTATATCGAATTGTTTGCCAAATATAATTAGTTTAGTTGGAATTATATAAAGCCTGAAGACAAGTAATGTAGTGAACAAGAACATAAATGGGGACAATCGGATGTATTTGAACACAAAATTATAGAACATCTTAGAAAAATGTGAGAACCATACAATCAATACTTTATTTGCAAAATGTCCATCAATCATCTCAGACTTTACTGTTCCTTCATTCCCATATCAATTGCTTTCTGTTCCCGTTCTTTCCTTCTCGACCTTCCGCTGCCAGACATTCTATCCCTGACTAGCGTTATATACTACTTATGTCGATATAAGTAGCATACACTACAGTAGTTCAGTTACACCACACAAAATACTGAATATACTAATTTTAATTTCATTATCTAGTTAATTATGTTTTATATGATTTTATTTTTGAATTATTTTTTTTATTAACATGACTTTTTAGCAGTATACAATAATGGAGTTCTAATACAAGGTTTGAAGTTTACTGAACCATGTCCAGAACGTGGCTACGACTTTAATGATCGTACGTTAAAAGTTTTATATAACTGACTTTAATTATAAATTAAAATGAAACTAAAGCTGAAAATTTAATAAGTTGAAGGTCAACATAACTGTTTTATTATCCATTAAACTAAATACTTATTGTAAGCAAAGATGGATAGTGACTTGCAGTGGAATCCAGTTTGACGCGCATTTCGTCATATTTGGGACTAGTCAGTTGGACGTACCTGCATCTCAGAGTTGATGTTCACTCTGGGACTCGAACCTAGCACTCTTCTCTTTGAACGCCATCGCATTATCCACTTAGCAACTGAGTCCTGATAGCCACTTGCTTGTGCAATGGGGTGAAGTTTAAATTCACTTGGTATTGTTTGTTTGAATCTTCCCATTGATGTTTAGCACTGCAACTGATCAGTCTCTAATTGGCATATAGGTTAAGTGAATTTAAATACTTATTTATGTACTATCGTCTAACCAAACATAAAACGCATTGACTTTCATTATGACATTGACAAATTGTATAACAACATATGTCGACATGAATGTTCTATCATTTTTGAATGAAACCACTGTTGTATACCTTTTCTAAAACAGGCTTAGTTTATTCATTTTACGATCATCATGATATATGTCTGTTATCAATTGCTTCCTGAAGATTAATCATCATTTAGGTTCTTAGATTACACAAAATGCATGAAAAACAGTGAATTTTTGAGATTCAAGCAAGTCTTCAATCATCTTTTTTTTGGGGAGGGGGAGGGGCACAGATTTAACCCTTACCTATTGTGAGTTCCTCAGCATTATTAAATATATCGCATACCAGCAATTGTTGTATCTACTGACAAGAATTGTGCTTTTTAACAGGGAATTATCTAAAGTATTTATTAACATGACAAATCTTTAGTATATGTGACCACGAAGTGTTATGTTAACTGATCACTATTCATTGATAGAATTCTAGAAATTGTGCAGTTTTCTTATTTTTATAACCAACTAGATATAATTATGAGGAAAGTAAGTTTTATCCTTCATTGTATGTACCAGTTTTTCAAATAGGCCTCAAATATGTGAGACATTAGTTCGAACTTCAATATTTTATCCACTAGACTATCTAAGTAAGACTTCCCTCTTATTATTGATTTATAAAATCATCGCCTTCTGTTATTAAAATCGTGTTGCACTACAGTTTGTATTCTCATTTCGAAATATACGCAAATATATATTTCGAAGTCAGAATGTATGTTTTCCAATAATAGGGTTTTTCGTCATCTTGTTTCATGATCCCATATCATTCTATTTATTGGAAAAATCGCACATTGACTAGGATCTTATCTAGCAACCTTTTAACAGAAAATATCTATTGAGTTCCATATGATAATACCTCTGACATATAATATTACAAGTAGATAAAAGCAATCTTTTTCCTTACTTGAAATAAGTTTACGTCGTATAGAGTTAAACAGGTCATTGTTTTGAGTATATGAAAGTAAACAATGGTCGATAAGATTTGATCTGCACTAATAAGAAGCTGACATACATGACATTGATCACCACCTGGTGATCAGTCTGGTTGACACAGGATCGAATCCGTCAGGGAGCATCAGTTCCCTCAAGATTACAGGTACACTTTGATGATGAGTGCTAAGTAGTACGAAACCTAGGTTCAGGGTTTCCCGTTGACTACCTTCAACCACCATCTTATCTCAACATAGTACACGCAATGTCGAGTCACCTAGACTAGTGTCCACATTGAAACTTGGTCGATAGGATTCGATCTGCACTAATAAGGACCTGACATACATGACATTGATCACCACCCAGTGATCAGTCAATTATAAATTGTATATAATTAACATCTTTTGTAGTAACGGGACCCAGAAAATAAGTACAGAATCTCTTACCAAACATTACACTAGATATAGTACGTAAACACCAAATATCATTACTTAGTTGTTCAAATCAAAGCAGATGAAATATGTTTTTTGGTGGATGCACACTGTCCTATCGTGGGTTCCTCAGCAGTGCGCATCCACGATTTCGCCTCTCGAGATTCGAATCCAAAACCTACCTAAATAAATAAAAATTCAACAAACCAATCATTGTTATAGTTTATTAAAGATTAACGATGTGTTAGTTGCTTAAAACATAGTTCCAATGGTTGATAAAACCACGTTTAGTACTGAATACTAATTAGGCAATACAAATTGTCATTTGATAATTTATTATCTCCAACGTATATTTTCTAAATAAACAATAGTTCACCTTGAAATGTCCCAGTTATTCCCGTCCAATTCACCTTAATTTCTATGTAATGACTCGATAAAGTGGCGTGATCATATATCTAATACACATATATATATGATATGATCACGCCACTTTATCGAGTCATTACATATTTATATAGTGAACTAACGTGGTATCTGTGTGTACATATACACACATACAGAGAGAATTCACTCCATTCAACTTTGATCACCTTAAAAACGTATACATAAACATGTGCATATTCTCAAGTGTTTATAATATTAAACCTTAAGACACACCCACTATGATATGCATATTTTAGAAATAATAGATAAATATGGACTGATAAAATGACACCATAAATCTTATTTATTATTAGTATTATTAATATTAAGTCAAAGTTCAATCTTCTAATCTGACTAGACTGAATCTCTTTCATGTATAAATAGATTAAAAATGAAAATATTTAAAATAACTCCATATCACTGAGATGACATTAAATGGTGTTAATGTATAACTTTAATCAATACATGATCTTGTACAACTATTCATCCATTGTTTGTGGTAGATACCTGTCTCTACCTGATAGGATTTGGACTCCACTGGTTATGACTTTTAACTTGAACTTCAGGAAATTCACATTGAAGCTTACATGGACTCATGAATTCAACTTACTACAGTATACACAAATCCTCTTTTAATAATAATCATCATATGCTCACTAGTAACGGGCTTCAACATGGATTTCATGAAGTTCAAGTGAGAAGCAATGTCCAGTGGAGTCCAATCCCTATCAGGTAGAGACAGGTATCTACCACAGACAGTGGATGAATGGTTGTAAATGATCATGTATTGATTAAAGTTAGATATTAACATCGTTGGATGGTGGCTCACTGGTGTAGAGGTTCGTGTAGGAGACTGAAGGTACTTGGTTCGAGTCCCTTTGTTGCATGATCGTGGATACTCATTTATTCATATTTCTAATGTTATTTCCACTAAAAAGTTTTTAATATCAGAAGGGGGTTTTGTAGAGATTTTAGTAATTTTATAGTTGAATTCATAAGTCAATTAAAACTAGACCACCACCACCACCATAGGACGAGTTAGCCGTTCAGTACTTTCAGGTTTTCCATGGTTGTCTAGCTTTCATTTATCAAGATTAATAATCTTGTCAAATCATCATATCATTTTTGTCACGAGTGAAATCAATTTAGTATCTATGATTAACTATCAGGTCATATTTAAGAAAAATCCCCCTATATCTATATCAAGGTCATTCAATACTGGTCCTTGTAATGGTCTACATAACAAATAAGTAAATATATGGTATAATGGGACAATAGAATAAACGACAACATTTTGTTTACTAAATGAAACAAATCGTACGATAATTTAATCACATGATAAAAAGTAATAAAGAATGAACTTAATTTAAATAACCATATTCAAGTCTGACCTTAAATTGGATAGGTGTATCATACCATGTAAGGGTAATGAAATATAAAACAAAATAATAATATTATAAGAAATCAATGTATTTACATAGTTGAAATCATGAATAAATTGAAGCTAAACAACTATGGAAATCCTGGAAGCACTCAACAGCCGTTTCGTCCTATTGTGAGACTCCTAAGCATTGCGCATCCACGATCCTGCCTCACGAGATTCGAATCCAGGACCTACTTGAACATTATAAAAACAAACATGTTCTACTTCACTTAGTATTGTTTGTTTAAATCTTCCAATTGATGTTTAGGACTGCAACTGGTCAGTCTCTAATTGGTAGATACATCCAGCTGACGAGTCCCAAATAGGACGAAACGCGCGTCTTGGATTCCACTGCTAGCCACTATCCATCTTTGCTTACAAATATGTTCTAAGGTTACATTTTTAATATGTAAACATACAAAGGTGGTATGAAGGGCAAATTAATTCAATTTACTTATTTATATTGTTTATTGACCAATCTAAAAAATGTACATAGTGTCGTGAAAATATAAGCGTAAACAAACTGTACTGCTCATAGTAGTAACTAAATATACTATATATATAGGTTAGTCTCCCTACATTGATTGGATTTTATTATGAGGAGAACTTAAATAAAACTAATTTTCAGTAGGAGGGTTTGTGGAAATTTAAGTAATTTTATAGTTGAAATCATGAATGAATTGAAGCTAGACCACTGTGAAAAACCTGGAAGCACTGGACGGCCGTTTAGTCCTATTGTGGAACTCCTCAGCAGTGCTCATCTTATGCTCACTGACTGGCTTCAAGATATATGTCCTGGAGTTCTAGTGACCAGTGGAATACAACCAGGTCTGTTGGGAGATATCAACTCACTGAAGGCAATGGTGGACGGTTGCTCAACATCGTGGATTGATTGAAGTTAGACATTAACACCGTTGGATGCCGGATCAGTGGTCTATCAGTTGTAGAGTAGTTGCTATGCCATGATTAATTTTAAAATTAAATATCTCTTTTTTTGACAAAAAAGATGATTTTTATTTATTTTACTTTTTTTTCTCTTTATTTGTAAATTAGCTACTGGGAATTTTATGTGTGTAGTACCAACACCAAAAGAATGTTTTAGTTTATGTCAAAATATGGGATGTACAGAATGGAATCATATGAATTTAATTCCATCAGGTAGTGAAGAAGTTAAACGATATCATAGATGTCGATGCTTTCCTGAATATAATATGTGCTTTTATAATTATGTACCTAAAATACATCGTAATTTTGATTAATTGTATCCTCCTATATATATAAATACATGTAACTTCAGATATTCATTGAATGAAACATATCTATTACTACTACTACTTTTACTACTACTACTACTACTACTACTACTACTACTACTACTACTACTACTACTACTACTACTACTACTACTACTACTACTACTACTACTACTACTACTACTACTACTACTACTACCACTACTACTACTACCACTACCATTACTACTACCACTACTACTACTACAGGTCTCATACAAATGAATGACTATTACAAACTTGTATAATAACTATTCAATGCTCAAAAATGTACAATAATATTTTCTTTCTTTCTTTTTTTGTTTTCTAACTCAGGTCAGTTTATTTTCTTTTTATATATATACTACTTATTATTCATATTTATTTCGCTATACAATACATGAACTACTTATAAATAAATGTGAATTGATAATATAAATTAAAATTTTGCTTGGTATTGTTTTTGTTTGAATCTTCCCATTGTTGTGCTAGGACTGCAATTGATTAGTCTCTTATTGCCATATGTGAATCTTGTGCGGACTGCCTACATATTACTTTAAGTCGCAAGCTTCATAAGCCAAGATGGATAGTGACTAGCGGTGGAATCCAGGATACGGTTTTATTCCCATTTGGGACTTGTCAACTAGATGTACCTGCATCTCAGAGTTGATTTTCACTCTGGGACTCGAACCCAGTACCTTTCACTTCAAACGCCATCGCGTTATCCACTCAGCTACTGAGTCCTGATAGCCACTTGCTTGTGCAATAGCGTTTGAAGCGAAAGGAACTGGGTTCGAGTTCCAGAGTGAACTTCAACTCTGAGATGCAGGTACATCCAACTGACGAGTCTCAAATAGAACGAAACGTGCGTCCTGGATTCCATTGCTAGCCATTATCCATCTTTGCTTATAAATTCAAATTGTTTTATTTATTTGGTATGTATTTAGTTTCGTTTGTGTAGAATTCAGAGGATAACGTTGTAATGTCTCAACTAGGTTAAATGGATCTTTATTAGGATAATGTGATATAGTATTGTGTCGGCTTAAACTATTGTGTCTTACATTACTTGATTTTATTCTGAACTATATCCGAAGAGCCCCGATTAATACTTCATGGACATTTATTCCAGAGCGACTGACAGATCATTTGACTGTGATCATGTAATGTTAATCAGAAGATAATTGGTTGGATAGAATACATATTCACTCTACCTAGTATGCACCACTATATATCGTAAATATCACATATGCCATAGGTGGAGTATATCATTTGTTCTTGTCACTATTTCCTTAAACAACAGAAGAAATAAGAAATGACTGACCTGATCTACTTTGCTCCTCAATTACAAACAAGGGACTGCTGTAAACCACCACCGAAGCATCTTGTACATGATGAGTGAGAAACATTCCAGATTTTCAGTTTCCTTTAGGTACATTTCTATAATTTTCCTGAAGAATGGGAATATTTTTGAAGCACTATCGGTTAAGAGGAAATCGATGCGTATAAGATCGTATGTACCGATATTTCTAGGAGGTCTTTAAAACATGAAAGCATTGAAAATTCCTATTTTGTGTAAAGCCAGAGTGGTAATATTTTTGTACATAACCTTTTAGGATATAAGATTTTAGTCAATCATACAAATACGATAAAACATTAGAAAAAGCAGCCTCTTCTTTCAAGTGACTTTAAATTACGATCTTACGGAGATTACTTACTCATAATATGAACAGATATTATTACATCACCTTCATTCAGCTCCTCTTGTATATGTCAGGAGAATAAAAACGTCATCTATTTCCCGAGTTGTCCCTATATGTCTACACTTCCGCAGATCTTATGTTGTGGAATCCGACGTTTTCACAATGAATCTGAACACCTTATGTTTAAAGAAGGGGTCAGTAATAAAGGTTGAGTTGTGACAAATTACATTTCAGGACAGTAAAGATCCTTATTGAATTATCGATAGTATCTGACAGCATCGACCAATGTAACTTGAATCTGTTTAAAGTACATTACATAAAAGTGTTTTCTAAGGGCTAACACAAGGTGGGGTATGATAGAAGGTTATTTCATGAGGTATGTAACCACCGAACAATCGAAAGTATTTTGATATTTTATACCTACTTACAAAATATAAGTAACATAAAATATCATTCGGAAAAACTGATGAAAGATGATGGTGAAAATTTCATGAAAAAGGATGACACGAAAAGCTTATTTGTTCTCATGAAATTTCTATCAGAAACATTATGTAATAAGAGCTCGTTTAAATTCTCTTCGTTAGAACTACAATTTTAACTAAATCACGTATTTAGTGATGCATTGGATAGTAATAACTCCGCCTGTAGCTCTTCTAGAGTTACTGCCGGTCGCAAGCCCACAAAAAGGAGGAGAGTTGGCCATAGGGTTAGCGACCCCATCCCGTAGAAAAGCTAACTCGCTAAAAAACGCTAACCAGAAAAAATAATTCAAACCATTTAAACTCTGCCCTCCAAGTTGAAGGAAGAATTATGACGTCTCATGATGAAAGCCGAAATTTTTCGGAAGTCACGAGACCGATGCACCTTCTAACAACCAGAGCAACACTATTTATAGGTACATGGAACGTCCGAACAATGTGGGAGACCGGAAAGACCAGCCAAATAGCAATGGAAATGAAGAGATACAACTTGGCAGTACTCGAAATCAGCGAAACCCATTGGACACAAACTGGACAACAGAGGCTAGGTACAGGAGAGATGCTGCTGTACTCCGGTCACGAAGGGGAAAATGCTCCACACACTCAGGGAGTTGCTCTAATGCTGTCCAAAGAAGCACGAAATGCACTTGTGGGATGGGAATCTCATGGACCCAGGATAATCAAAGCATCATTCAGAACAAAGAAGGAGGGGATCACAATGAACGTTGTCCAATGTTATGCACCCACCAATGATAGCAACGACGATGATAAAGATCAGTTCTATGAAAGACTGCAATCAATTATAGCAAAGTGCTCACGAAAGGACCTGACCATCCTGATGGGAGATCGAAATGTTAAAGTTGGAGTGGACAACACAGGATATGAAGATATAATTGGACGACATGGACTAGGAGAGAGAAATGAAAATGGGGAGAGACTTGCAAACATATGTGCATTCAACAAATTGGTTATAGGCGGCACAGTATTCCCACACAAACGCATACACACAGCTACATGGATCTCACCGGACCACACCAAAGAGAACCAGATAGATCACATCTGTATCAACAAAAAATTCCGAAGATCAATGGAAGATGTGAGAACCCGGAGAGGAGCTGACAAAGCTTCAGTTCACCACCTGGTTGTGGCCAAGATTAAACTGAAGCTAAAGAAACACTGGACAACTGGACAAACAGCACTACAAAGGTTTAATGCAGCCTTTCTTCGAGATACTGACAAGCTCCATGAATTCAAGATAACTCTCAACAACAGGTTCCAAGCTCTACAGGATCTACTGAAAGAACAAGAAACTACTTTGGAGGACAACTGGAAAGGGATAAAAGAAGCACTAACTTCAACGTGTCAGGAGGTTCTTGGTCCTAAGAAGCATCATCACAAGGAATGGATCTCTATGGGAACCCTGGACAAAATTCAAGAAAGGAAGAACAAGAAACTAGCAATTAACAACAGCCGAACACGAGCAGAGAAAGTCAAAGCACAAGCAGACTACGCAGAAGCAAACAGAGAAGTGAAGAAAAGCATTAAAGCCAACAAGCAGAAATACATGGGAGGACTAGCAACGACGGCGGAAAAAGCTGCAAGAGAAGGGAATATGAAACAACTATATGATACAACGAAGAAATTGGCAGTGAGATATAGCAAACCAGAGAGACCAGTCAAGGACAAAGTAGGAAAGACAATCACTGAGATTCAAGAACAGAGGAAAAGATGGGCAGAATACTTCTAGGAACTGCTGAATAGACCAGCCCCATTGAATCCACCGAACACCGAAGCAGCTCACACAGACCTTCCAATAGATTTCACTCCACCAACGATCGAAGAAGTCAAGATGGCCATCAGACAAATCAAAAGTGGGAAGGCGGCAGGACCTGACAATATACCAGCAGAAGCACTGAAGTCAGACATTGAAATAACTGCAAATATGCTTCACCTTCTATTCAAGAAGATTTGGGAAGAGGAACAAGTGCCAACGGACTGGAAAAAAGGATATCTCATCAAGATACCAAAGAAAGGAGATCTGAGCCAATGTGAGAACTACAGAGGCATCAGTTTGTTATCAGTACCAGGAAAGGTTTTCAACAGAGTGCTGCTGAATCAGATGAAAGACGCAGTAGACGCCGAACTTAGGGATCAACAGGCTGGATTCCGTAAGGATCGGTTGTGCACAGACCAGATTGCGACACTACGGATCATCGTTGAACAATCAGTTGAGTGGAACTCATCACTATACGTCAACTTCATTGACTACGAGAAGGTGTTTGGCAGCGTGGACAGGAGAACGTTATGGAAATCTCTTCGACACTGGAGTTCCTGAAAAGATTGTCAACATTATCCAAAACTCATACGATGGACTACAGTGCAAAGTGGTGCATGGAGGACAGCTGACAGATGCATTTCCAGTAAGGACCGGAGTCAGACAAGGCTGTCTACTCTCCCCATTTCTCTTCCTTCTAGTGATTGACTGGATAATGAAGAATTCGACATCTGACGGGAAATACGGAATACAATGGACTTCTCAGAATCAATTAGATGATTTGGACTTCGCAGATGACCTAGCCCTCCTCTCTCATACACACGACCAAATGCAGATGAAGACCGCAAATGTAGCAGCAGCCTCCACATCGATAGGCCTCCACATTCACAAAGGAAAAAGCAAGATTCTCAAATGCAACACGGAGAACACCAACTCAATCACACTTGATGGCGAAACCCTGGAATAGGTGGAAACATTGAAGTACCTGGGGAGCATCGTTGATAAACAAGGAGGATCGGATGCAGATGTAAAGGCGAGGATTGGCAAAGCAAGGGGAGCATTTCTACAATTGAAGAACATATGGAACTCAAAACAACTCTCA